AGCCCCCTGGGGAGTCAGCCCCACCATTTGTACAATTTTTAATCACCACCACCTAGGGATGCTTCCAGTCAAATATGGTTGATATCCACTTCTTAGTTCCAGAGAAGAAGTCGCTTAAAGCAATATGGGCAAATTGACCCCTTTTGGCCCTGCCTCTCAGTCCCCTGGGGGGTCAGCCCCACCATTTGTACAATTTTGAATCCCCACCACCTAGGGATGCTTCCAGTCAAATTTAGTTTAATTCCAACCGGTGGTTAAGAAGAAGAAGTCGTTTAAAGAAATTGTTGACGTACGGACGGATGGACGGACGACGGACGCCACGGTATGGCATAAGCTCACCTTGGTCCTTCGGACCAGGTGAGCTAATAAATGAGAAAGTTATTCATGTACTCCACTATACTTTCATTTTCGAGGATTTAAATTCACAAAAGTTAACAATTACCGAGTACTAGAAACAACTTAATAAAATATCTAAATTAAGTTTCCATTACATATGAAATTGATGAAGCAAACATCAGCAAGTTTCAGAATAATTATACAGAGTGAGAATGAGGTTGATATTCAAATACTCAGTCTAAACAAACACCATTTTAAAGTTTTTTAAATATCTGGACTAGAGTTAGGTGAAGTTTTTTATTGGTAATTCAGGCCATACTTTAGTAAATGAGATTTTACATTGCTGTAACATGATTCTATATTGGTAAATTGAGGGGGATACATAATATTCCAACAGATAAGCAGTTTCAATAGAAAGGGATGTCTGACTTAGATGAATATTCAGAAATACTTTTTTTAGATGTTTGGTATAATAACAGTGTCAAAATATAAGAATATTTTGGTTTAAGATAAATAGTCAGAAATTCTTTATAAGCTTTGTATTACAAAAAGTCTCAAAATATCATGTTTACTTAATTTTTTTCTTAGAAAAGTTGATAAATGTTTAAACATACATAAACTGTTAAGCTGTTTTAATGACAGCCCTGTTAATAAACCACAATATCTCAGTATTTACCTATTACTAGTACTGCTTTTGGCAGTGGGATAGATGTCAAATGGGCGGGGCAGAGGGGCCGGGGGGCGTTTAGGGTCGATGGAATGGCAGGCTTGGCCGTATGCAGGAGGACTGCTGGGTACACTGTAGTAAGACTCTGACACGACTTCACGCTTGTACCACGCCTCCTTAAAAAACGGGATGTAGATGGGAGCTGGAATATAAACGGAACAAGAAATATTCATCTGAATACACTATTACATAACCACTCAGTTATTATAATAAGATTTCAGTCTTCAATGAAAACGGGAAATGGAAATTTAAAAAAAAAAAGTTTTTTAAACATAGTAAAAGATCAGATTAAATATACAAGAGCTTTTCAACAGATATAGAATACACTTCCTTTTTTTTAAAGAAGCACATTATACCAATCAATTATCCCAACTATTCCTGCCATTATATTTCTACAGAATTGTTTCACATAATACTATCTTGCAACATCTCAGTAAAAAACTTCTTCTTCCTCAATAATATAAAGTTCTCTAAGAAACTTCCATTCAAATTGTACATGCATGTTTTCCTTCATTACATCGCAAACAGGGAAATGTTCCCAGAAAAAAAATGAAAATGGAATCAAATAATTAAACGAGAAAGTTCTTCTGAACATCTTTTAATGAAATGTGTCATGGACAATTTGTTTTGAAAACATTTTTATTCCCAAATGACACTATTGCGCATTAAATATTCTAAATCACACGTGTCACTTACTCTGCTGTTGGAAATTGGCAGTAGTCATTTTGAATTCCCCACCAAGAAAGTCGGCCAGCTGGTTGCCTTCAGAAATGAGGATTTGACTGAGCTCATCCTTGAAGAAGATAGCTGACCCCCCACTGTCTGTGACTGCTAGGATCAGGATTGGCAGCACCTGCATCTGGTTTCGCAAACTTTCAGCAAACGCCCTGAAGCATTAATAGGTTACATGTTATCTATACCAGGCCCACATAAAGCCATATAAATATTTGATTATTGAAAAGACCATGTAATGATTTATTCTACATTAGGCAAAAGCCAAAAAGAAATCCATTCTATTTTTCAACACATGAATTTTTGTACCTTGTGACTTCAGTGGGATAGGAAATCAAGCAAGCTCGCATCATGACAAATGGCCAAGTTCATTAAATGTAAACATGAAGCATTACAATGAACTTTCAAATGTAATTGGTACTGTATTACAATCTATCCTCCATTTCATTTCTCAGTTGTTGAACTCGTTGATAAAATAAATGACAAATTATCACAACTTTTACTTCATATTACTCAACTCACCAGTTGTTCTGACAAAAGTAATTTTAATCATGTTTTACAACTACTAGAAATTCAAAACATAATTTTTCATAGTTTTATTATTATTATCATTGATATTATGTGTTTATTTTTTTTTAAATATTTTCACTACATTTTTCTCAACATTTACGCTTACTTGGCTTGGCACACATAGGAAAAAGTAAGTCTTGCAAAAATCAGTGGGAGCTTTGGTTAATGAAAATTTAGAACACACATTTAGTGGGATAAGTCTATTTCTAATGTAACTAGGAGTAATAATCCAGAATTTGAGTTAAATACTGTAAGAAAGCACTCACTTCATGGTTGCATAAGAGGCCTTCCTTTTGGTGGAGAACACAAGTATGAATCCATGGAACATGTGGTAGTCCTCGTCATCCTTGAACATTTTGGACACAAAATTGTGGTAAGAAGAAATACAGATCTCAATTTTCTGTTTGGAAAAATCTGGACTGTTGTCAACATTCGTTTCCATGGTGATGCTGTACATGGAGCTCGTTGGATCAATGTCAATTTGGGTGGGGTTACTGTTGAGCAGGGGCCCAAGAGGGATCTCGCAGTCAAAAGGGTCGCCACACATAAGACACATCCCTATCCTGAAGAACGAAACATACATAAAACTGTGAGTAGAGACTAAAATGGGATCAAATGATTAGCATAGTAGTAGCAAGTTACTTCATCAGAACAGAACACTCGGCAACCCACGATTATTTTGACTGTAACTAATATACGATGGCGGCTACTGGTTCAATTCTCAGCATCAGGGGCAGGCTGTGTATCATAGCATGTAACTATATACAACACAAACAGTAATTTGAGAGACACTTACGATATTCATCACTGTTCAACAGGTAAAATATGAATAATCCTTTAATGATGTTTATCTTATAAATTAGGTTTATTTGAATTGTTACTATAAATGATAAATAATACATGCTTGACCAAACTTTAAAGAACCTTTTTCAAATAACAGATTAAATTTTATTTTGTAATCAAGGAGTGAAATTCACGACATTTTTGCTGTTGAAAAAATGAAACGATCAGCAAATAGGTTACTGGTAACTATAAACACATGGCTAAAGTTAGTTCAAATTTGGTTATCGATTCAAAAACTTTCAATTAGCAAATTTTGAATATTTAAGGAGTGAAGATTATGATTTCTGGATATTATTCTATTGTTGTATATAAGCCTTTGGAAAGCAAGTAGTTCAGATTGTCAAAAGTCTGTGTAATGATCTTTTGCTTTATGTCACATGTTTACCCATCCTGGATACTCCAGGGGTTACGCTCACATTTACGCTCTCTGCACCTCTAGAATATGTCATAGCAAAATGGAAGGCTCAGTGTGTGCCACCATGTGGATGAGACAAGACTAGTTTGATCCTGTGATGTACATCACAAGAATCTGGCAGGTGCCTAACAGTAAAACTGACTGTCTTTGAAGTCGGGTGACGCTCCTCTGTAATCTTCAAAGGACGGGTATCAGCCCAGCAATTGGTAAGTGTGTTTTACCTGTGACCAATCAAATAGCTAGCTACATTATATTACAAAGGGCGGGTATCAGCCCAGCAATTGGTAAGTGTGTTTTACCTGTGACCAATCAAATAGCTAGCTACATTAAATTACAAAGGACGGGTATCAGCCCAGCAATTGGTAAGTTTGTTTTACCTGTGACCAATCAAATAGCTAGCTACATTAAATTTTGTTATGCCATATTCCAGGGGTGCAGCGACCATAAGTAAGCATAACCCCTGGATATCGAGGAGTATCGAGGAGTACGTTTCCAGACAGAACTAACCGTAGATCCGGTTCTAGGTCCTCAGAGCATGGCCGTGATGAGCTAGCCTGGCCAGATCCACGAACCACCATTATCAGCGACTCCTCTATCTGTACAGGTGAGAACCTCAAACCGTGATCTTCCAGGTCATCCTCCACTGGAATGTCTTTAAACTCGCACCGCAAACTGAAACGAGCAATTTTGAAACTCAAAACTTGGAAGTAACTTTGATCATCTTAAGAACAAATTGAAATTGGTACATAACAATTTTTTTACAAAAACTGCACAAACATTTTAAACTTACTTGGATGTCTTAGATGATGAGGTTATCAACATCAAAACATGTATGTGTACTGAGTTTTATCATGGCTTTAGGTCACAAGCCCAGTGGTTTTTATCATAAATACATGGTGGGAGAGAGGCAATGATGCTTTCCTGTTTTCAAATATGTCATCAAAAATACACTTACACTATGGTGTTGCTACACATTGCATCAAATCATCTGTATGCTGATACAATCAGTAACAGACCCATTTTCAAATGTTTTTAAAACTCATAAATGTCAGTTGATCAAATAATGTACAATTAAGAGTTTCCTGTTACAAGTATTTCACCAGTGAAAGGTCAGATAGCTTGAGTCTATGAAGAGATTTACCAAATATTTCAATAAGGGTTTAGTTATGCTGTGAACAGTCTATGAAGAGATTTACTTAATATTTCAATAAGGGTTTAGTTATGCTGTGAACAGTCTATGAAGAGATTTACTTAATATTTCAAAAAGGGTTTAGTTATTCTGTGAACAGTCTATGAAGAGATTTACTTAATAGTTCAATAAGGGTTTAGTTATGCTGTGAACAGTCTATGAAGAGATTTACCTCATTGAAAAATAAGGGTTAAGTTATGCTGTTGACCAATTAATAAATGGTCAGTGAAGCATTGGTCAGTAAAACAATTGACCAATGAAATTACAACTTAGCAGTTGATCAGCAGAGGTTAGCTAACTAGAGGCTGTGACAAGTGAGAGGTACTGGGACTAGTTGATGGAATATCTATTAAGTCATTAACACAAGAGAGGTCAGTCTTTGTCCAAACCTGCGTGCCAGCTCCTGTCCCTTGTGAGACAGAATGATGTGTTCCTTCTCCGTACATTCAGGATTGAAGGCATGAAGGATGATGATTGGCACACCGTGTAACGTCTGGTCCTCCTCCCGCTGCAGATCTGCCAGTAATGTTGTCTCCAGACTAGAGCGCACATACTCCAGCGATTCTCGTGAATTGTACACACACAGACACCCTGCAACATTATTACGTACTGTATGATGGTTTCCCATTTAATACCATATATACTCAACCAGTAAGTCAGGATATCTATATGTTTCACAAGTGCAAAAGCTTCAGTAAAAATTTCAGTTTATACTGCCATACAGGTGAAATATATATGGTATTCAATGGAAAAAAAAACAATTAAATTTTCTTTCTATTGCTTTTTAAAAAATAACTGCTGCTTTAGAAAAGTGCGTGAATTAATAGTGTAACATTTCACATCAGGTTCTAATGGCGTCACACCTGACAAAAAGGCAGAGAGCCACTTTGATGGAGTAGCACAATAGCATTCTGCTGTTTACTGCTTTTATCTGGTAAGATTCCAAATGATGTTATCAATGGTGCAGCTATGTAAATACCATATCATATGTTGCAAAGGTGTACCAAAACAACCACATAGATATCCTGCTGTTGATTCATCTGAACTTAAACTGAAAATCTACGCAGTAAATAGAGTGTATCGGACCGGACAACACTGCAGTGATATCCTCACAGGTGAATATGTAACATTACATGTAGCTTTTTATCAAATGGTTATTCCTGATATTTCACTGGTAAAATTGTAATATAGATTATGTCTGATTAATACAGTATGAAATTGAAATCCTTATTTAACAATGCTGTTTACAACAAATGATCCTGATTGTATTGATCACACAAGGTAAGATATACCGGTATGTTACAAAAAGTCAAGGAAACTGGACAAGATACTTACCATGTGGTTTAAAATTTGCAGTAGCAAAAGAGTTATATTCTAAACTAACATCTTCCTCTATTGGTCTGTAATCTAAACTATACACAGCACTTCGATAAGGAAACATATCTTGATTGCACATATTCTGAAATAAATGAAGAAAGAATTTTTAGTTTGGGAGAGTTAAAATATTTTCAGAAATGCAATTAAACATTATCCTAAATATCATGCTTTCAATATATTTTGCACACAACCCTTTTTTATATATGTAATTGTTTCACAAACAGTTTCTGGGAAGTCCTGATCAGGTAACTGAACATGTAGACAATTTGTCAATATAACATCTCTGTTATACTAAATCCATGTGTCATCATTTTCTGCACTTTTCAGTGACAGGACCACAGCATTTATGTGTGTGTTATAGATTTACTGATGCCAAAAACTAGATTTTCTTGAATATATGTTTCTGAATTTACCAACCAATAAGAAATAAGGAACCATTCATTACTTTTTAATATATTAATGGATTAATTTGGGTTCTTTCCCACCCATTTTATTCTATTTAAATATATGTGCTCAATTTATGATTTAAATAAACTGTACACCGGTACTTTTCACAGCAGTTTATTTTGCACCTTTTTCGCCCTTCTTAATGAGAGAAAATTTACCATTACAGAGAGCATAGGTTAATTAGGTTAATTTGACTGTAGTTCTTCAAACATATTTCAACTTACCTGTATTTCTTTATTTTACCCAGATTTGTTTTACACATGGCACAACTTGACCAGATTTCTTTACACATATTTCCATTTATTAGTTATATTTTACACAAGGTTCAACTTACCCAGATTTTGTTTTTAGACACAACTTACCCTGATTTTGTTTTTAGATGACACAACTTACCCAGATTTTGTTTTTAGATGACAAAACTTACCCGGATTTCTTTACATAATTCCTCAGCCAGGCCAGCCTTGCCTAGCAGCACCAGATTGAGAGGCTTCAAAGAGCCCTCACCTTCAGATATTGAGAGCGGCTCAGACCTGCGGATACAAATGGCTTTAATAGTAACTATGACATCATCTATTCTCAATTAATATGAATCAGTCTTATAAAGTCCCTGTACAGTCTGGTCTATCAGACATTATATTGTACAGTCTGGTCTATCAGACATTATACTGCACCGTCTGGTCTATCAGACATTATATTGTACAGTCTGGTCTATCCGACCTTATACTGTACAGTCCGGTCTATCAGTCATTATACTGTACAGTCTTGTCTATCTGACATTATACTGTACAGTCCGGTCTATCAGACATTTTACTGTACAGTCTGGTCTATGTGACATTATACTGTACCGTCTGGTCTATCTGACATGATACTGTACAGTCTGCTCTATCAGACATTATTCTGCACAGTTTGGTCTATCTTACATTATACTGTACAGTCCGGTCTATCAGACATTTTACTGTACAGTCTGGTCTATCAGCCATCATACTGTCCAGTCTGGTCTATCTGACATGATACTGTACAGTCTGCTCTATCAGACATTATGCTATATAGTCTGGTCTATCAGTCATTATACTGTACAGTCTGCTCTATCAGACATTATTCTGTGTTGTCTGGTCTATCAGATATTATATTGTACAGTCTTGTCTATCAGACATTATCCTGCACCGTCTGGTCTATCTGACATTATGCTGTACAGTCTGGTCTTTCAGACATTATACTATCCAGTCTGGTCTATCTGACATGATACTGTACAGTCTGTTCTATCAGACATTATCCTGCACCGTCTGGTCTATCAGACCTCATATTGTACAGTCTGGGCTATTAGACATTATACTGTACAGTCTTGTCTATCAGACATTACACTGTACAGTCCGGTCTATCAGACATTACACTGTACAGTCCGGTCTATCAGACATTTTACTGTACAGTCTGGGCTATCTGACATTATACTGTACCGTCTGTTCTAGTCTTTTCTTTTCTATGAAGTGAAATTTTCATAAAGACAGAACAATATTTTTCTTTATCGAATGAAAATATTTTGCCAGAAATACCAGTTCAAGCCTCTAACGACCGAGAGCCAATAAGGCTCTGTTAACAAGACACATCTCTAACGACCGAGACCCAATAAGTCTCTGTCAACAAGACAAATCTCTACCGACCGAGAGCCACTAAGTCTCTGTTAACGAGACAAATCTCTAACTACCGAGAGCCAATAAGTCTTTGTTAACAAGACAAATCTATAACGACCGAGAGCCAATAAGGCTCTGTTAACAAGACACATCTCTAACGACCGAGAGTCAATAAGTCTCTGTTGACAAGACAAATCTCTACCGACCGAGAGCCACTAAGTCTCTGTTAACAAGACAAACAGTGACATAATTTGTTGACCCAAGAATGAGTGAAGTGTCAGCTGACAGGAGATGACCTTAGATTGACCTTTTTCAGATTGACTGATCATAAAGAATAATAAAATATATCACCCCCTTGGAGGTGAGATAGGGGAATCTCAACCCTCAGGGAAAGATTCTTATGTTGCCAAACACCAGGCTTTGCCGAGTGTTTGGCAACTTAAGAATCTTTCCCCGAGGGTTGAGATTCCCCTATCTCACCCACAAGGGGGTGAATGATTCTTTTTCTCTTACCCTGTTCTCCCAATGTGTATCATATACACAATGTAATGATAACGTTACATGCTAAATTCAGGGTTGACGTGACGTTGATGGATTGTTGACGTGACATCAATGTATTGTTAAAGTGACGTCATACTATTGTTATGAATTATTCAGAATAGGGGAATCCCCCCGTCTCGACCCTAGGGTGAGACTAATAGAATCCATCCCTGATGTGAGGTATGGATAAGGTAATTCTAACCCAAGGGATAAACAATTGAGCAGGAGACCCGAGGCTTTGCTCAATATTTTATCCCTAGGGTTTGAATTATCTTATCCTTACCTCACATCAGGGGTGGATTATATTTCTTGCTTATTACCTAAAACCCGTAAAAACAGCTGCTTTTCTAGTGAAATTGTAAACTGTCCGCGCATTTCTCATTTGCATATGCAGCACGGATGACAATTGTTAGTTACATCAATGACCCTGACTGATCCCAAAACGTCATAAAATAATGTCACGAACAATAGTGTGACCCCAAAAGGTCACTATAATTCCCCCGCTAGTCTGCGCGTGTAAGCAATCTAGACCGGTTGGTCGGATAGAATTTTCCAGCACCGCCGGAAATGCGGATATCTCGGTCTAGTATGCAAGAAAAAGAAATCTCACACCGGTAAAAGTGCGGATACACCTGTCCAGAGTAAGAGAAGGACTAATCTCACCTGAAAATGCGGCCCTCAAAGATGTTCTGTAACTCTACTTCTGCACATTTTTGTTGGAAGTAGCACCTGTCACGTGACGGACATTCCATGAAGCCAAGCAGATTGAACAGGATAACCTTTCTCTCCTCCTCCAGTCGGTCCATTACACGGTACCTGGGGATAGAAAAAAGCAGTAAGGACTACAGTTAGGACCTTGACACTACATGTATCAGGTTCGCAGCAGGTATTCAATCCAGAGCAAGCAAGATGAAGGATTTCACCATAATAAAATCCTTGCAGCAGAATGAGTGTTTGCTTCTAAAACTAATCTTGAACAAGCTTACCAGGGTTTGTATTCTGGACTTTGTCATCCACTAATATTTACAGTCAACACTGACATCCACTCAATAGCCATCGTTCCCGTAAACTGGAGTTATCATTTCATAACATGACTATCGAACACCACAAGTTTCCATAATGTCGACAACAATACCTGTGGACAGGCAATGGATGGGTATGAACATTTTCCGTGAACAGGACAAAAACGTGTGATGTCATCGATGTTAGTGGAGTTAATCAAAGCATATGCAAATATCAGGCTGTTACTTTTACTGAACCAATCACACTTGCCCGACCTCTTGCCAATGTTTATGGAGGGAGAATCTCCTTTTCTTATAATCAAACATGTCAACAAATCAAGCCGTTTCATAACCTGGCTACTTTTAGCCTTAAGATGGCCAGATTAATGAGGTATAACTCTATTTCATAACGTTGTGGCAATACTCAATAAACTATGACAATATCGTGGTTGGGTGGTACAGTAGCTAGTGCACATGCATTCACCTTTACCGAGACAGCCTGGATTTGATTCCCAGATTGAACATGAAAAGGTATGGGGTCACCTGTCCGTCCCGTGGGTTTTATTTGAGAACTCCCATTTCTTCCCACATTAAGAACCTCTACACACTATCATCTATGCCAACAAGACTGATTTATAGAAGCTGATAGAAATTGTTTCATAGTAGTTGTAAAATAAATACCGTTGAATTTAAACTATGAGATGTATATATCATTTGACCTTACCGAGGGTCATCCTCAATAAATTTGGTTATGGTTCGAATGTCCTCCTGCGTGATTGTATTGGGTGTGTTGGACATGTGGATGAATATCTCCAGTTTCTCCCAAAGCAGTTCCTGAAAATCGTGACGGGCAGCCGTTTTGAGGTCATTCTGGTGTGCTTCAAACACCTGTTCACGTTCGTACTGTTTGAGATCAATGTAACAGTCCTTGCCCACAAACGAAATGTATGTCTCTTCCAATGACTTGCCTGGCGACACCTCTGGAGTGTCCTCCAACAGCTTTTTAAACTGTCTCTTTAATCTATAACAAACAAGCATGTGTTTAACTTGACCTTATTGTACCAATACGATGGACAGACAAGTTTGTTCAGCATCATAGTGCATGCCATCAGAATAGAGAGGAAAAACCACAGGAGATAATATGTACAAGAAGATGCTCTTCTCCACCATTGATATGGCAACACCTATAATAAACCCAGGACTTAATCAGCAGAAAATTATTACATGGGCATTGGTCGTGATGCAAAATCTATAAATCATTTTCAGAAACTGATGAACATAGGAAAATGGATTTTACAACCTGTGCACTGCTGTGAAACACTAGCTTTTCTAGATTTTTCTAGTAATCCCCAATCACTTGTCCACTGGGATGTTGTGTTTTCTAATTGTTCAAAATTTTATTATGGCAAATCTTCACTTTTAATGAAAACCAACTTTATAATAATATTTTTTAGCTTTTTTCTACTGTAAATGCAATTCAATTTGTAAACAGTTAAATTGCTTGAATATTTATTGAATTTTTAGCGACTATAAACACTGCATTGATCCCTGTTATTTTACAGAGAAAATTAAGCCAGACACAATGCCACACTTGCGATACATACTGAAGCTTCCTGTGTTGGGCTTGCAGGGCATTAAAGTGGTTGCGGAAGCACGTCTCAGCATCACAGGAGGATAGGAGATCATATGGGATGCGTATCTCCTGGTAGTTGTCGACAAAATGAGGAGTTGTTTTCCAGCTGTCATTTTCATAACACACCTCCACAAAATACTGATCAAAGTCTGGGTGTTGTAGGATATACCGTTGACATGTCGTCCAGCTGTTAACATGTTCAAGTATTCGTTAATACCCGTCATACAGTCATACTTCTTCATACACTGTCTTGTATAACATATCACATACGAAATAATAGGACCATTTCAAAAGTTTCATATAAGTTACAATGCTGCATTTGGTACATGTGTAAATCATTCTATCATAGAGTAAAGCATCAAGTTCAAGGACAAAACATGTACAGCAGTTATGAATACTGTCATAAATATTAGAATGAAGATTTTGGTCTAAGGAACGCCACAGCTTAGTTGATATACCTTGGTACAGTATACGTATCTTTGCATAATATGTCATCGTTATGAACAAATATATATTAAATAGTTACCCACTTCTTTTAAGCATGCTTATTGTACATGTTTGCTTAATAAGTCTTGAACACAAATTTTCAACATCAATTTTTTGGGAAAATAATCTGAAAATTTATATATATTTTTGCATATTTCTATGTTGTTTTTGTTCTCGAATGGTTATTTTGAATCCCGACACCTGTAGCTTAATTAGTTTCAGTTTCATTTTTTTTTTTTTTAAATTAATGAAATATTTGGAAAAACGTTTTTTTCTACAGATGGCGGGCACCTAAGGTAAACATTTTCCTTGAACTTACTAGTCAAGATACATTTCTTGACAAAGAAACACCCATTCCCTCACCTTTTCACCACTTTTTCCATTATAATAGATAGATGTTAACTTTGAAATTTGACAAAACATTTTCTAAAAAAAACTTTATGTTCACTTAGGAGGCTCTGACCTGACCTCAAAGACATTTTTTAGAACACATGTAATCCTGAGTATCTGAATGATGTCCCCTAACACACAACCCTTGGTTAGTACATCTCCGACCCCCTGGACATTTCCTTAATGCCTTTGAACCCTCATGTATGAATCGTAAGCTTGTGACCTCTAACCTTTCTGTGATGGTGTTGAGGTCTGGGAAGAAGTGTTGGAGGACATCCGGTAGCTTTTGGAGATAATGACTCTCCCGCCTGCGTATTTGTTCATCACACAGGTGCTTGATGTGTAGTCGGAACAGTTTACGAGCAGAGTCCGTTCCAAAATGCTCAATATAATGTAAAAAGTCAGACTCCTTTTCCAACTTTTTGCGTGAGGGTGCCCATACAGCCTTGGGGTCAATCACATTGTTGCGCAACAGACTCCGGTAAGCCTCTGTTGCCACATCAAGTAATTCCTTCCGCTGTCGAACAGCTTCAGTGAATTGAACAATTTTTGGTCTTGTTTTAGTTTTGTCAATCATGTGAGCCAGTGTCAAAAAAGCCTGCTCTACATTGACGTTTTCGTGCGCCGACGTCCCCACAAGGGGAATATTATTCTTGTACTCCCGCTTCGACAAGAGGCGTTCCACTTCCTTCACATAACGATCGTTTGCCTCATCCGTTTTTGTCGTCACCATCACAACAGGTTTCTTAGTTTTTATTGCACCATTTAATAACAACGTAACAAACTCCACTTGTTGTTCCAGAGACCGTTGTTGAACTTGACTTACATCGAAACAACATATAAAACCATCAATATTTAGTTTACCCTCCGGCATTAGTTTCTGTTCATAAGCGCTGTCCGTTTCCATACCTGTAAGTAGACAAAACCAGAAGAATGTATTTAAATGCATCTACAGTGAGGTCAAGGTATCTTAGAATTCTACAGCTATACCCGACAGGCTAAATCACCACATGGTGGATAGCTATTACTACAGCTATCCCCGCCAGGCTATATCACCACATGGTGGATAGCTATTACTACCGCTATACCTGACAGGCTACATCACTACATGGTGTATAGCTATTACTACAGCTATACCCGACAGGCTATATCACCACATGGTGGATAGCTATTACTACAGCTATCCCCGCCAGGCTATATCACCACATGGTGGATAGCTATTACTACAGCTATCCCCGCCAGGCTATATCACCACATGGTGGATAGCTATTACTACAGCTATACCTGAAAGACAACATCACCACATGGTGGATAGCTATTACTACCGCTATACCTGACAGGCTACATCACTACATGGTGTATAGCTATTACTACAGCTATACCCGACAGGCTACATCACCACATGGTGGATAGCTATTACTACCGCTATACCTGACAGGCTACATCACTACATGGTGGATAGCTATTACTACAGCTATACCTGACAGGCTACATCACTTCATGATGGATAGCTATTACAACAGCAATACCCGACAGGCTAGACCATCACATGGTGGATAGCTATTACTACAGCTATACCTTACAGGCTACATCACTACATGATGGATAGCTATTACTACAGCTATACCCGATAGGCTACATCACCACATGATGGATAGCTCTTACTACAGCTATACCTGACAGGCTCCATCACGGATAGCTATTACTACAGCTATACCTTACAGGCTACATCACTACATGATGGATAGCTATTACAACAGCAATACCAGACAGGCTAGACCATCACATGGTGGATAGCTATTACTTCATCTATACCTGACAGGATACACCATCACATGGTGTATAGCTATTACTACAGCTATACCCGATCGGCTACATCACCACATGATGGATAGCTCTTACTACAGCTATACCTGACAGGCTATATCACCACATGATGGATAGCTATTACTACAGCCATACCTGACAGGCTACATCACTACATGATAGATAGCTATTACTACAGCTATCCCCGACAGGCTACATCACCACATGGTAGATAGCTATTACTACATCTATACCTGACAGGCTACATCATCACTACATGGTGGATAGCTATTACTACATATATACCCGACAGGCTACATTACCACATGGTGGATAGCTATTACTATAGCTATACCCGACAGGCTACATCACCACATGATGGAAAGCTATTACTACAGCTATACCCGACCGGCTACACCATCACATGGTGGATAGCCATTACTACAGCTATACCTGACAGACAACATCACCACATGGTGGATAGCTAATTACTACAGCTATACCCGACAGGCTACACCATCACATGGTGGATAGCCATTACTACAGCTATACCTGACAGACTACATCACTACATGGTGGATAGCTATTACTACATCTATACCTGACAGGCTACATCATCACTACATGGTGGATAGCTATTACTATAGCTATACCCGACAGGCTACATCACTGCATGATGGATAGCTATTACTACAGCTATACCTTACAGGCTACATCACTACATGATGGATAGCTATTACTACATGTACAGCTATACCTGACAGGCTACACCATCACAAGGTGGATAGCTATTACTACAGCTATATCTGACAGGCTACATCACTACATGATGGATAGCTATTACTACATGTACAGCTATACCCGACAGGCTACATCACTACAAGCAATACCCGACAGGCTAGACCATCACATGGTGGATAGCTATTACTACATATATACCCGACAGGCTACATCACCACATGGGGGATAGCTTTTACTACAGCTATACCCACATCACTACATGATGGATAGCTATTACTACAGCTATATACCCGACAGGCTACATCACTACATGGTGGATAACTAATACTACAGCTATACCTGACAGGCTATATCACGAAATGGTGGATAGCTATTACTACAGCTACAACTGACAGGCTACATCACCACATGGTGGATAACTAATACTACAGCTATACCTGACAGGCTACTTCACCACATGGTGGATAGCTATTACTATAGCTATACCTGACAGGCTACATCACGGATAGCTATTACTACAGCTATACCCGACAGGCTACATCCCCACATGATGGATAGCTATTACTACAGCTATATCTGACAGGCTACATCACTACATGGTGGATAACTAATACTACAGCTATACCTGACAGGCTATATCACGAAATGGTGGATAGCTATTACTACAGCTACAACTGACAGGCTACATCACCACATGGTGGATAACTATTACTACAGCTATACCTGACAGACAACATCACCACATGGTGGATAGCTAATTACTACAGCTATACCCGACAGGCTACCTCACTACATGGTGGATAGCTATTACTACGGCTATACCTGACAGGCTACATCACTTCATGATGGATAGCTATTACAACAGCAATCCCCGACAGGCTAGACCATCACATGGTGGATAGCTATTACTTCATCTATACCTGACAGGATACACCATCACATGGTGTATAGCTATTACTACAGCTATACCCGACCGGCTACACCATCACATGGTGGATAGCTATTACTTCATCTATACCTGACAGGCTACATCATCACATGGTGGATAGCTATTACTTCATCTATACCTGACAGGCTACACCATCACATGGTGTATAGCTATTACTACAGCTATACCCGACAGGCTACATCACCACATGATGGATAGCTATTACTACAGCTATCCCCGACAGGCTACATCACTACATGGTGGATAGCTAATACTACAGCTATGCCTGACAGGCTACATCACCAGATGGTGGATAGCTATTACTACAGCTATACCGGACAGGCTACACCATCACACATGGTGGATAACTATTACTACAGCTATACCCGACAGGCTACATCCCCACATGATGGATAGCTATTACTACAGCTATACCCGACAGGCTACATCCCCACATGATGGATAGCTATTACTACAGCTATATCTGACAGGCTACATCACTACATGATGGATAGCTATTACTACATCTATACCCGACAGGCTACATCACTACATGATGGATAGCTATTACTACATCTATACCCGACAGACTACATCACTACATGATGGATAGATATTACTACATCTATACCCGACAGGCTACGTCACTACATGGTGGATAGCTATTACTACAGCTATATCCGACAGGCTACATCACCATATGGTGGATAACTATTACTACAGCTATACCTGACAGGCTACGTCATCACATGGTGGATAGCTATTACTACAACTATACCTGACAGGCTACACCATCACATGGCGGATAGCTATTACTACAGCTATACCTGACCGGCTACACCATCACATGGTGGATAGCTATTACTGCAGCTATACCTGACAGGCTACACCATCACACATGGTGGATAACTATTACTACAGCTATACCCGACAGGCTACATCCCCACATGATGGATAGCTATTACTACAGCTATCCCCGACAGGCTACATCACTAAATGATGGATAGCTATTACTACAGCTATACCCGACAGGCTACATCCCCACATGATGGATAGCTATTACTACAGCTATATCTGACAGGCTACATCACTACATGATGGATAGCTATTACTACATCTATACCCGCCAGGCTACATCACTACATGGTGGATAGCTATTACTACAGTTATACCTGACAGGCTACATCACCACATGGTGGATAGCTATTACTACAACTATACCTGACAGGCTACACCATCACATGCTGGATAGCTATTACTACAGCTATACCTGAGAGGCTACACCATCACATGGTGGATAGCTATACCACATGGTGGATAACTATTACTACAGCTATACCCGACAGGCTACATCCCCACATGATGGATAGCTATTACTACAGCTATCCCCGACAGGCTACATCACTACATGGTGGATAGCTAATACTACAGCTATGCCTGACAGGCTACATCACCAGATGGTGGATAGCTATTACTACAGCTATACCCGACAGGCTACATCACTACATGGTGGATAGCTATTACTACATCTATACCCGACAGACTACATCACTACATGATGGATAGCTATTACTACATCTATACCCGACAGGCTACATCACTACATGGTGGATAGCTATTACTACCGCTATACCCGACAGGCTACATCAACACATGGTGGATAGCTATTACTACCGCTATACCCGACAGGCTACATCAATACATGGTGGATAGCTATTACTACCGCTATACCCGACAGGCTACATCAATACATGGTGGATAGCTATTACTACCGCTATACCCGACAGGCTACATCAACACATGGTGGATAGCTATTACTACCGCTATACCCGACAGGCTACATCATCACTACATGGTGGATAGCTATTACTACCGCTATACCCGACAGGCTACATCACTAAATGATGGATAGCTATTACTACAGTGGTGTATAGCTATTACTTCATCTATACCTGACAGGCTACATCATCACATGGTGGATAGCTAATACTACAGCTATGCCTGACAGGCTACATCACCAGATGGTGGATAGCTATTACTACAGCTTTACCTGACAGGCTACATCACCAGCTGGTGGGTAGCTATTACTACAGCTATACCCGACAGGCCACATCACCACATGGTGGATAGCTATAACTACAGCTATACCCGACAGGCTAAATCACTACATGGTGGATAGCTATTCCTACATATATACCCGACAGACTACATCACTACATGGTGGATAGCTAATACTACAGCTATTCCCGACAGGCTACATCATCACATGATGGATAGCTATTACTACAGCTATACCCGACAGGCTACACCATCACATGGTGTATAGCTATTACTTCATCTATACCTGACAGGCTACACCATCACATGGTGTATAGCTATTACTACAGCTATACCTGACAGGCTACATCACCACATGATGGATAGCTATTACTACAGCTATTCCCGACAGGCTACATCACCACATGATGGATAGCTATTACTACATCTATACCCGACAGGCTACATCACCACATGGTGGATAGCTATTACTTCATCTATACCCGACAGGCTACACCATCACATGGTGGATAGCTATTACTACAGCTATACCTGACAGGCTACACCATCACATGGTGGATAGCTATTATTCAAGGTAGGAACTTATCAAGTGTTTCTTACAGGTCATTATTTATTTTAAAAACCACAAATGAAATAAAATATTATTCAACTTATTAGTCTTATTTTACACTTAATTAAAGCCTTTGAAATTCTGTCTAAAATTCTGTCCCACCCAAATTTATTATTAACCCTTTCACTCCTATGTAACTTTAGTAGACTTTACCTTGCATTGATATGGATGAGTCCATAATGGTCTACAGTGGTAAAAAGGGTTGATGTAGTTATAACTACTTCATCGCCTCAAAAAACCCAGAAAATCTTTATTAGATTCCCAATTCAATTTTACAAACAGACTTATTTATACAAAAACAAAACAGCCTCACAGTGGGACATACATAAATTTGAAAAGAGAAATCTAGACCCTTAATCAGTGATCAATCCACATTTTGTTTTTATGAGTCCTTTTTAACTAAATCATTCAACTATATGAGCCCTTCCTTCTTAAATTTCAGGTTTTTCCAGAGTCCCATCAAAATCTATGAGTAAAGGACTTAGGACTATCGTTTAAATTCATCACTTATGTTGATCATGAGAGAGCTCAAAAATGAATAGCTTCCTTATTTTCATATCAGTACTGCAACAGAAGTAATGTGTCATGACTTAAACCAGGACAAATTTCATTGAGATCTACATTGGGTAATTGTAGTATGTAGTATCATTTTGTTTGTGCTGTATCTATGATCATACACGTATTGTGTAAAATTGTTTTAGATTATCTTTTAAATCATTTTGAGGTAAATGATATATTAAGAGAATGTTCATATCATGCCTACTATATATGTGTATTGGATTTTATAGTGTGGATCTTCATCCTTTCGAGGAAGGCACACCTTTTAACTTGTATACAATATTGAGCCCTCTTGGCCAAAGGTTTCTCTATGAACCTTGATTCTAGGTATTTGGTTAAAATCCTTAACGTATACTGAAGGAAAAGGATTTTTTCTCTTGGCCCATGAATGATCCCTACAAAATTTAGTCAAATTCCCTTCAGCTGCTGTGGACTAGTATTGTTTTAAAGGAAAAGTTGACAAATACCATGCCATGTCATGGCTATAACCTCACATGGACCCTTTTGGGGCTAAGTGAGCTGAAATAATGACCAGGCAATCTAAAATGTCATAAATTTTCCCCCAAAATTAATGAAATATGAAAAAAATGTTAGTTCCCGAATTTTATGAACAATGCAAAACGATTTCCAACATCAGTTACAAATTTTGTTTTCTATTTCACTATTGACATACCTAGCTGGTCTTTACATATATACATGAGCTTCTCTGCAGACTGAACTTTTGTGGCTACACAACGTTTGTAGTAGGGGTCAGTCCGACCTGTCTTGAATGGCTGGAACGATACATCGTCAATGAACTCGCTTTGCTCTATGACATGAAAAACGAAGTTGTTGCCATCGTCAGTCTTGGTGACCTCTCCCCAGTAGAGGAAGTGGTCATTGTTGATGACACGTCCAGCAAAGTCACTCTGGCTCAGCACAGAGATGTGGTCCGAGAAGTATTTGTCAGCTACGTACGAGATGAACCGGTTACAGAGGCATGACTTGCCTACTCCGACAGGACCTTTGTCTCTTTCTGTGCCTGACAGTCCTATTACACTGATGTTGAATGTTCGATCCTCACCTTTCTTGGCCATTCTGGGCTGTGATTGGTCAATGCACAATACACACCGCTGTCAAATCTTATGATTTTCTTTGCACAATTAATTACAAATAGACATGTTGTAATCTTTGATCATTGCACTGAAGGTCAAAGGTCACAAATGTGTCCTGGCTGGATCCCATAACTTTCATGTAGGTCATTTGGTGCACTATATCCCAGCACCACCAAACACAGATCACCCCATCGCGATACATTAGGTAGTTACGATTTTTGTGTGATGAATACTGACAAATTTATTAATCAAATGTACCATTAAATACTGTTCCAAATCATAACAGTTATACGCTGTAACGACAGCCGATCAGGTTTCCAGTTGTTTCCCTACATGTCATGTGTTAGTCTGAACACCCATAATGTAAAACCGGGGGTTATACACTGGACCAAGTCACATGAGAAGTGACACGATTATATCACCAGCTCCTTCCTATACAGATCAACAAAACTCCAGTTTCTCTTTATCACTCACTGGTAGATCCATGTTCATATCTGAAATGACAAGTGAAAAACTATTAACACACCATAAAAGTAAGTTTTTACAGAAACAACGGTTATTGGTATGTGTAAAACCAGTTGACACATTTTCAATACGAAATGTTACATCTCTGTATTACACAGACAGACATGTTTTCTGCGTATAAAATGTTACAACGATGGACAGATTAACAATTTCTCTTGTACAAAGAGACACTGGTTACCAGGTTTTCTTGGTGTACACTGGGAGGTATTGGTAGATATGTTATCTCGGTGAAGCAGACATGTTTTCTTGATGTACAATTTTACACATGAAGATATGCTTTCTCCATGCACAATTTCAGACTTCTGGACAAGAATTCTGTGTAGGAAGTTTTCCCAGTGTGTCGAAGTGTTACAGATTTTCTCTGCAGAAAAGAAATGCACCCATAAACAATTGCTCAGTGAAAAATATTACACTGATGGCATAGCAGCTGGGACATTCTCAATGCAAGGGTAATATTACACTGATTTTAAAAGATGTAAGATTATTAAGACTGTAGGCAAGGTTTATGGTCCATTTTATGATATCATTAGGAATTATTCTATTTTTGTGAGTGATATGAGAGTCGAATATGTAATATTACACTGATGGCATAGCATCTGGGACATTCTGAATGCAAGTGTAATATGAAGTATAACTTTTTACTCTATCGTAAAGTTTCGATGTTTAAATTTCCTGTAATATTACACTGATGGCATAGCAGCTGGGACACTCTCAATGTAAGTGTAATATTACACTGATGGCATAGCAGCTGGGACATTCTCAATACAAGTGTAATATTACACTTGCATTGAGACTTTTAACTCTATCGTAAAGTTTCGATGTTTAAATTTCCTGTAATATTACACTGATGTCATAGCAGCTGGGACATTTTCAATGCAAGTGTAATATTACACTTCCATTAAGAATGTCCCAGCTGCTATGACATCAGTGTAATATTACCCTTACATTGAGAATGTCCCAGCTCCTATGCCATCAGTGTAAAACAACACTTACATTGAAAATGTCCCAGCTGCTATGACATCAGTGTAATATTACACTGATAGCATAGCAGCTGGGACACTCTCAATGTAAGTGTAATATTAAACTGATGGCATAGCAGCCGGGACACTCTCAATGTAAGTGTAATATTAAACTGATGGCATAGCAGCTGTGACATTCTCAATGCAAGTGTTGTATTACACTGATGGCATACCAGCTGGAACATTCTCAATGTAAGTGTAATATTACACTGATGGCATAGCAGCTGGAACATTCTCAACGTAAGTGTAATATTACACTGATGGCATAGCAGCTGGGACATTCTCAATGCAAGTGTTGTATTACACTGATGGCATAGCAGCTGGAACATTCTCAACGTAAGTGTAATATTACACTGATGGCATAGCAGCTGGGACATTCTCAATGCAAGTGTTGTATTACACTGATGGCATAGCAGCTGGGACATTTTCAGTATAAGTGTAATATTACACTGATGGCATAGCAGCTGGGACATTGTCAATGCAAGTGTAATATTACACTGATGGCATAGCAGCTGGGACATTTTCAATATAAGTGTAATATTACACTTTCATTGAGAATGTCCCAGCTTCTATGCCATCAGTGTAATACAACACTTACATTGAAAATGTCCCAGCTGCTATACCATCAGTGTAATATTACACTGATGGCATAGCAGCTGGGACACATATTCTCAATGCAAATGTTGTATACTGGAGGATTTTTTACACTGTTAAATATCAGAACGACAGACATAGTTTCTCAGTTTAAAATCATCCACAGCCAACAATTCATTTAAAACACACAATCATAACAAGCTAAGTAAAACAGTAAATCTGATATTCTCTACATACATATATATTATTGTAAAACAAAAGTATCTTATGACCTCAATGGGATGTCCCTCTGGTAAATGTAGCTATACGTAGCCACACAAGAACAAATTTGACCAAATAAGGCAACCTGGTGCAGGTCATCTTCGCTAGCCAAGTGTTTGCATCGTATATACACTCCACTTAAATGGAGTGTACACCAAGTGAACACTTGGCTAGTAAAGATGGGTGAAGGTAAATAAGGAGTGCTGCGCATGCATCTTTCTTAAGAATAAGACATTCTTTCTCTCATTCTTTCTCGCATAAGTTAGACCTAATATTCTGACAAATATTTTTCCACGTCTGAATAGACGTGATGGTTTCTTCCAACTCAAAAGTAGGATCCCCCTTTAATAATGCAGCATGTCATTTTGAAAGATCTGCTTTATATTATTCCCTATATTGGCAAATGCTGTTCCATGGTACCTCTATTTTTGTTCATTTACATACAATGCCAAAGCGCACGTGTAGCAAAAGTGTTCAGAAACTAGAAAAGTCTGTAAGACATAAATGCCCGTTCATGGATGGGACGGGACAGGACGCGATGGACATGGGCAACACTATCTGCCAGAAAATGTCTGTAAGACATGAAAACCAACGCTCCCATGCAAGTTAAGGGTCATTTTACAAATTTCTATAAAATAGTAATGGTGACCTTGAACTTGACCTTTGGTTCCTGAAATTCATGATATTCAAATACTTGACCTTGGCAATAGCTTGATCAAAATCTGGTAAAAATGAAGTTGTTGGAGTGATGCCACTTACAGTGTCATTCATTCACGACGTTTCTGTGAGTGGTATAGTGACAATGACCTTGACTTTGACCTTGGCAACTCTGAAACATGAATTCATTCAGAGTATTTTGATAGCTGACCCATTTATGAAGTTTGATCAAAATCTGTTGAGAAAAGAAGTCACTAAAGTGAACTGGGAAGTGATGCTTGTGACAGAACAGACCAACAGGAATATCACTGTAGGCCCCCAACACAATGGTTGGGGCATAAGAATCTGGAAAGGAAATTTAAACATCAAAACTTTACGATAGAGTTAAAAGTTACATTTCAAATAATGTCTGGGGGGCTACAGGAGTCCTCATTACAACAGATACAGTACATCACCCTTATCATGGTACAGTGCAATCTGTATTAAGCGACCACCAAAGGGAAATTAAAGTTTAATAAAGTTTGGCCATATTTTGTACAGAATTACACAACCGACTATAACCCAACGACTCCTTATTCAGACAACTGTTAACAGATAACCACCCCTAGTCCACATTTACACATGTATGCACAGGTAGTTTAAAACAACATCGTTCAACAGATCAGGTGAATAACTAAACAATAGTCCAGTGATAATTATGGTAGTAAACAAACAACTAAGAGTGTTTGAGAAGAATTGTCATTTCACTCGGAACAAACGATCGACGGAGACTTGTTGAAGTTCTCAACTTACACGACTGTATATTCGGTAATTACCATGATTTAAGCTAGCTTGTTACGAAAGATATTGTTGTTGAAATGATAGCGGTTCCTATAGTGGTCCAACAGATGGGTGCACATATATTTATTCCTTTATTTTACGATGGAAACTGGAAAGATAATCCAGTTAAAAAATTGACCAAAATAGAGCCATCAGCACGTTGCTGAAAAACGGACCGGTATTATTATCGTTAGTACTTTGGCATTGAGAAGTTCAGGAATGTTATTGAAGACTTTTAATATTGATGAGGAATTAGAAACAATATATGTGCTAGAAAAAACATGTTTAGTGCGCAGTTCACTGATAATAAATTTTAATTTCGCAGATGAGTGCTGTCGTGAACATCTCTAAACAGATCCGATTTCAAGAATGAAAACTTGCATGTGAACTTTATATTATCAGATGGAGGATATCGTAGGGTTAAAGGTTACATTACCTAGCAGGGCACTCGCCCAATCAAAATGGTTTTGCTCAACTGCGATACATATAGGTCCGTATTTTCATTGCTAAATCAACAATATCAGCAGTTAAAAAATGACTTTTTATTCGTTTCTGCACATCAATGAATTTATTATAAATTTGGAAATCAATTTTGTCAAATTTGTTCACTGAATTTGGTGAAAAGATCGTGAAGTAGCCCTTGATCAAATATGGTGACGATCACAAATTTTGAGTTAAACAACTATTTCAAAGACAGTTTGGTATATTTTCGTCGCACACGGTCACTAAAATATATCAAATGTGATTGTTTAACGTAATTTTGGGTCATTATTGAGTGGTCGCTGGTCACGTTACACAGATGGTCGCTTAATACAGTTACATTACATAGTAAAAACAGTCGGGAGGAATGAAAAGTGGTCGCATAAAACAGATGATCGTTTAATGCAGATGGTCGCTTGAGCAGATTTGACTGTATATATAAAGTAGGTGCAACAAATGTGTGTTGTGTATACACACACTAATACTTACAGTGTCAGGGTAGTGGAATGTTGTGTGGGAGCGTGGGGGAGCTCAATGGTCTATGATTGTAACAATAGCTTCACATTCATTTATATCACATTGTATAAGTGGTCACTTAAAATTACTGGCAATCTGTTAAAACTTCCTTGTTCAGAAAACAGCTGTTTCCGAATCACAATCAAGGATGATGATACTGCAGGAAGAAAACAGAGCAGTTTCTAATTGTTCTGGGAATAGTGACCAGTTTGAAATATTGCGGAAAAGTAAACTTGAGAAAAATGAATAATCAAGCAAACATAAATTAAAGTTGATTGTTAAGTTTTATAATTAATATAAACAAAGCCAAGTTGTAGGCTTATTTCTCTTCAACACACGACAACTACCGGAGTAGCTATGATCCCCAGCTATAACATGTATCCAGTGTTTATCCATGGTACTTGCAAAATAGCCATCCTTATCCTTTAAGTTGGGAAAAATTAACAGCAAATCTAAGGATGTACTTTGCTCTTTTTTCTATAAATAATTTTCAAGAAAAATGGATTTCCTTAATTGCAATTGAACATATTGCTAAATATATATATATATGCATAAATCATTATGATTTCTATCTTTTGACTGTAAAACTTTGCATAGATTACCATACCAAGCCTACTGACTTT